GGGGGAGGAAGGCAGCGAGCGAGCGGGCGAGGCAGCGGCAGAGCCCGGCGGCCACCATGGAGCTGGCGATGGAGAACCTGGGCAGCCTGCACGGCGTCCCGCACTCGCAGCCCGCCGAGCTGCTGAGCCCGGCGCACGGGCGGCAGGGCTCGCACCGCAACCTGGTGCCGCACGGCCGGCCCGCCATGGTGTCGGGTATGGCCTCCATCCTGGAGGGGGGAGACTACCGCGCCGAGCACAGCCTGGCCGCCCCGCTGCACCCCGCCATGAGCATGTCCTGCGAGTCCCCCTCCGGCATGAGCCTGAGCAGCACCTACACCACGCTGACCCCCCTGCAGCACCTGCCGCCCATCTCCACCGTCTCGGAGAAGTTCCACCACCCGCACCACCACCACCACCACCACCACCCGCACCAGCGCCTGGCCGGCAACGTGAGCGGCAGCTTCACCCTCATGCGCGACGAGCGGAGCCTGGCCTCCATGGGCAACCTCTACAGCCACTACCCCAAGGACATGCCGGCCATGGGGCAGCCCCTCTCGCCGCTGCCCAACGGGCTGGGCAGCCTGCACAACGCCCAGCAGCCGCTCGCCCCCTACGGCCCCGGGGGCCACTTGCCCAACGAGAAGATGCTCTCGCCCAACGGCTTCGACTCCCACGCCGCGATGCTGTCCCGGGGCGAGGAGCACCTGGCGCGGGGCTTGGCGGCCCCCAGCTCGGCCATGATGCCGCCGCTCAACGGGATGCACCCGCACGGTCACCCGCACGCCCAGCCCGGTGGCTCTCTCCTGGGCGAGAGGGAGAGGCAGGCCTCGGCCACCGGTTCCCAGCCCGGCGGCTCCGGGCAGGTGGAGGAGATCAACACCAAGGAGGTGGCTCAGAGGATCACGGCCGAGCTGAAACGCTACAGCATCCCGCAGGCGATCTTCGCCCAGAGGATCTTGTGCCGCTCCCAGGGGACCCTCTCGGACCTGCTGCGGAACCCCAAGCCCTGGAGTAAGCTCAAGTCCGGCCGGGAGACTTTCCGGAGGATGTGGAAATGGTTGCAGGAGCCGGAATTTCAGAGGATGTCGGCGCTCAGGCTGGCAGGTAGGTTACGGCACGGTCCGCTGCCGCGGCCGTCCGCCCCGCACCTCCGGGCGGGTGGGTGAGGGGGTGATGCGAACACGCGTGGGGACCCCTCGCTCGCGGGGGGGG